CCCCCCCGCAGAGTGTGCTGTGGGCCTCAGCGGAGCTCGAGGACAAACGGAGGACAAAGATGGGTGGGGAGGGGTCTACTTGGGAATAAAACTTGGGGGGAGGTGAGTCAGTGGGGGGCAAAAGCGGGAGAGGTGTGGGGAGGAGTAAGGGGTTCCTAGGTGAGGCAGGCCAGAAAGGGGATCGGCTGAGAGCTGGGGTGGGGGGCATCGGAAGGCTGAGCGGGGAGCAGACCGGAGGAGGAGGGAAGGAGGGGAGGGGAGGCAGAGGGGGAAGGGAGCGGGGAGCCTGGGCTTCTGAAGGGAGGGGAGCTGCGGAGAGAGGGAGGCAGAGGGTGTGGGGAGAGGGAGGGAACCCAGACGAGCAAAGCGAAGAAGGAAGGAGAGGGGAGGTGGGGAGAGCCTGGTGGGGGAGGGGGGAGGAAGGAAAAGAGGAGGGAGGAAGGAAGGGGGAGGGAGGAGAGGCTGGGCCCCCGGGAGCGGGAAGGAGGCGGGAGCGCGGCCAGTGAGGCTGCCGGAGAGCTGGGTCAGGGAAGGCGGTGGTTTGGGGGGACAGCGAGCATGGAGGGGTTTCCAGCGGACTAGAGGGGTGAAACAGTGGGGAGGGGAGCTAGGGGAGGGGCGCAGCTGGTAGGCTGCGTGAGAGATGGTGGGGGAGGGGTGGTGGGGGAGAGGTGGGGAGGGAGGGTTTTAGGAAGAGGAAGAAGCGTCGTTTCCTACCTTTAGCGAAGACCCCTCTTTCGACCTCCCCACCAGTTGCCCAGTGGTGACCCCACCTCCTGGTCCTGCAGGGACAGCTGGAGGGTCTGGAAGACCAAGTTCTAGCTCAGAGACCCCTTGGGTTACTGGGCTTTTCCAACAAGGGCACCATGGGGTGGGAGGGAGGGCATGCCATGGGACTGTACCAGTGGATTTCTCCTTAGACACCTTCTGAATTCGATCATCCTCGTTCCCCTCCTGGGTACACAGGGACCCTACCTTAGGCCCTAACCCCTCATTGGGGTGCTGATGTGGTGCTGCAGGATAATGCGCTGGACTGCAAGGTCAGTTTGAACGTAAGGTCGGCAGTTCAAACCCAACAGCTGCTCCTTGGAAACCCTATACAGGATAGCTATGGGTCAGAACTGACTCCGGGGCACTTAACAACAACAACAACCACCTCTGCTCCTCAGGGTCAGCTGTCCCCAGGAAGAGCTGTGACTACCATGAGGGAGTCCTTAGAGGCCCTCAGCCCCCTGGGTGAGCTTGAGTTTGAGAACTGGAGTGGGAGGGTGGGGGAGCCAGGCCTGTATTCCCACAACACAGCAGCTGGCAGAGGTCTAAGGAACCTGGAGACCTGTGAGGTCATGTGGCCACGTGTGTGTATGATTCCCTTCTGTGTGTGCACTCATGTGTGCATGATTCTCAGCAGGCACCTGTCCCTTCTACCCAGGACTCTGAGGTCTGGGCTGACACCTGACCAGCTGCTGGGGAGCCTGAGCTGTCCCTTGTCCATGTGGCTAGGGACCCTGACCTTCTGGAACAAGATGATAAGGAGGAGAAGACCCCCTCCAATTCTGATTCTGTCTAGTGGGAGCAGAGCCTGTATTTCATTTAGATCCTTCTTCCAACTATAACAGGGTTCTGTGTGGGACAGTCCGCGACGGCCTCCCAGAGTGAGTCTGGGCCACAGTCCTGTGATGTTCAGAAGCAGATGGCTTCTGACAGGAAAGAGAGAGGGCTGGGTGCATGCTCAGGTAAGTAGGTGAGAGGAGGCTTCCTTTCTTTGCCAAATGTTTGAACACTTACTCTGTGCTGTGCTAGCCGTTTGGAACATTTCAGCAACCAAATAGATAAAGCTCCTTGCTTTGAAGGAGCTTCATGGGTGTGTGAGCGACTGTCAGCAAAGCCCAATGTAAAATCACTGATAAAGTTCATGAAAGTGTAGGTGCTGGGGCAAGGGAGGGTGGTTAGGGTTAAAGTGGGCATGTGGTGGGGCCTCTTGAGGAACTGAGCTATGACTGGGGTTTGGAGAAGGTGAGGGAGGCAGGATAAGAGAAGAGCCCTCAGCAGAGTGGATCACCAGGACTTCCTCATGACTCCCACCCCAATGTGTTAGTTCTTGGGGTGGGGGTGTGGGGGAACCCTCTTGGCCCTTCCCCACATCTACCTGTACAGTTTAGCAGCAGCTTTGCTAAAGCGCCTAAGACCAGCTGGCTCCCAGTCCTTGAGGTATATTATTCTTTGCCAGGGCATGAGGCTCCCAGACCTGAGCAGAGTGCCCACACGGAACAAGGAGAGCCTCTTTGCGGAGGAATGTGGGTGAGCATGCCGTCGAAGATTGAGTCTGAGGGCACCTGCCCAGGTGAGTCTCCCCAGGTGGGGTCAGGGGCCCAGCTACTGCAGCGCTGCTGTGCTCAGGCTCCTTCTGGTATTCAGCCCCATTCCCAAGGAAGCTTGGATGCCTCGACACTGAAATGAGAGAGGCAGGGGCTCCCAGAAACCCTCTGCACCCCCATTTCCCTCCTCATCTCCCTGCCATCTGTATCGACATGCTTGTTGGTGACAGGAATCCCAATTCCCAGGAAGGTAAATGGTTTTGGTCAACTTTCAGCACCTCTCCCGAGACGTGCCCTCTTCCCCAAATTGCCACTTGCACACCCAGGTTCTCCATGCCTTCTGTCTGGACATTCAGGCACCAAACAGTTGGTTTTCTCATCCCGAGCCTCTCTATCACTGCTCTCCATCACTATCCTTAGCACTGTTTGCTTGAATGGCGGTGTTTTATCCAACAGGATTTTATGAGTCGGGCTGCTAACCTTAAGCTCAGCAGTTCGAAACTACCAGCCATTCCATGGGAGAAAGACGAGGCTTTCTGTTCCCATAAAGATTCACAGCCTCGGAAACCCTACACAGGGTTGCTACGAGTCAGAACCGACTCCACAGCACATAACCACCACCATCCTATGTATACTCCTGTGGAGCCCTGGTGTGGCGCTGGAAGATAAACCCGGGCTAACCACAAGGTTACCGGTTCAGACCCACCAGCCAATCCTTGGGAACTCTATATAGGGTCGCTATGAGTTGGAACTGACTCGACAGCACTTAACAACAGTGTGTATATTCCTGGAGCCCTGGTGTGGCACTGTAGAGTAAGCACTGGACTGTTAGCCACAAGGTCAGCAGTTCAAACCTATTAGCCACTCCTTGGAAGCCCTATACAGGGTTTATATGAGTCAGAACTGACTCGAAGGCACTTAACAACAACATATATACCCCCGGAGTCCTGATGTGGTGCTGGAGGGTAAGCACTGGACTGCTAACAACATCTGATCCTCAGAAACCCTATACAGGGTCTCTGTGAGTTGGAATCGACTTGATGGCACACAACAACAACTAACTGCAAGGTTGGTAGTTCAAACCCACCAGCCACTACACAGGAGAAAGATGCAGCTTTGTACTCCTGTAAAGATTTACATACAGCCTTGGAAACCTTATATAGATAGGGTCAAGCTAAGTTGGAATCCACTCAACGGCAGTGGTGTGTACGTATACTCCTCAGGAGCCCTGGTACCGGAGTGGATTATGAGGTGGGCTGCTAACTGCAAGGTCAGTTCCTAGTGTGGATCTGCCAATCATTCCACAGGAGAAAGATGAGACTTTCTGCTCCTATATAGATTGTGAGTCACTGGCACACAACCACCACCACCACAAGGAGCCCTAATAGCGCTGTAGGATAAGCATTGGACTGCTGACCCCAAGCTTGGTGGTTCAAGTCAACCAGTGGCCCCATGGGAGAAAGAAGAGACTCTGCTGCCACAAAGATTTACAGCCTCCGAGACGCTGAGGAGCAATTCTACACTGTCTGCTCGTGGCACTATGAGTCAGAACCAACTCTGTGGCTTCTTGTTAAGTGCTGCCAAGTGGGTTCCAACTCATATCAACCCTCTGTAGGGTTTCCAAGGAGTGACTGGTGGGTTTGAACCACCAACTTTTTAGTTTTCAGTCTAGTGCATATCCTACAAGTGCACACCAGGACTCCAGCACAATGGCAGACACGCTTACGCCTTGGTGGTATGGTGGCCAAGTGCTTGGCTAATTAATCCAAGGCTCTTTTGCCTTGAGAGCAAGTTGTGGCTGTGTTCTTCGGTAAAGATTGACAGCCGTGGGAATGCTCTGCTGTAACCTATAGGTTGCTGTGAGTCTGCATTTGAGGCGATGCACTGAGTGGGAAGAGATAGGCCCCAGACCCAGCCCGATCTGGTAAGTCTGGAGCCCTGTCTGAATAGTCTTGAGCAGGCTACCTCACCTTTGAGAGCCTCAGTTTGACAGCTGTAAATAGGGCCAGTAGTGGTGCTGTGTGCTTGTGAAGGTTTGTGAGGAATGCTGCAAATGGCTAAGGGTTTTGCCTATAGTTGGCACTCAATAACTAGTAGGGACATCATATTTTTATCAGAATGTTCATTCCTTTGTCTCTCCCCATTTAAGACAGTCAATTTCTAAATTGTCTATCCCCATCAAACCAGTGCTGTAAGGAGACACACCTGTGCCTTGATCAGAAGCCTCTTCTGTTCTGGTTGGAACTTTGAATATTTACCTCCACAGACAAAGTCCAGTCCAGATTCAGCCAACAAAGTGCAGCAATCGATACCAGTTCATGGTGTCAAACCTCTTTCTCTTCATTTAATTGAGTTCTGGCCAGCTTGTCTCTAGTCCTTGTGGGTGAAGTCATTGATACTAGCCATAGGCTCAGGAGTCCAGCTACCTCTCTGCACTTCAGACCAGCCAGTCCTTTCTCTGTCATCCCTAGTCTCCAGAGGCTAGGTCAGTGACTGCCAATGGAACATGTCCAAACTCAGCCCATCTCTTAATTGCTGTATCTCCTCATTTGCATTCATCAAGCGGACCCACCCAGGTGTCTACTTCCCAGATCCCTCTAAAGTCTCAGTCTTAGGATGGGCTTTCCCACCCAAGCACCCAGTAACCTAGACGCCAGGCGATTTCATCCAAACCAACAACCTATGCTTCTTTTGGACAAACCCTGCTTTCCCATTTAGTATATCCAATCAAGTATTGGCTGAAGGCAGAGCTACACACACTCTGTAATCTATGATACCTAATGTTCATTTCCATCATACATTTTAGGTTTGTTTTACAGCACTGGTAGGAGAAACATCCAGCATCCATAATACATGTAACTAGTCACGTTGTTGTTAAGTGCCATCGAGTCAGTTCCAACTCAGTGACCCTCTGTGTATAGGGTTTCCAGGGAGTGGCTGGTGGGTTTGCACTGTTGACCTTGTGGTTAGTAGTCTAATGCTTACCCTACAGTGCTATACCAAGGCCTCTAATAAACATGTAACCCTTGGTTAAACATCCCAGTTTCATCTTCTCCACATCTTGACCATCTTCCCATTCATATGCCATGGCCTTGGATCTCTGGTTGGGTGGGACCAGAAGACTGCGGCTGCCTATCAGTCATTTTGTTTAATTGGCTTTTGCCCAAGGCCACTCTCGAAGCAGCTTCTTGTCCCTCTGCTGGAGCTTAAAATCTCTTAACTTCCCTTTCAGTCATTATAGGTAACAACCAAATTAGCCATCTGAGAATCAAAAGTTTCACTTCCTACACCCCTTTATTCTTTCTCTTACAATGTCCCATGCTTCTTGGAGTCTGGAGCCATTGCATCAAATTCTGCGTCTGATGCCAGCTATCTCTCCCAGGGCACTTTCTAAATCTCTGGTGGTTTGAGAATTAGTTGCAATAGCCACACAGAACTCAGGACAGCTTCTTAGCTGTACTTGCAGCCAGGCCTCTCTCTCCCGATCCTTGGGCATCTTGGGTCAGGTTGGCCTCTGCCCTGCTTGGTCAAGTGTTACAAAGTTCTTTAGCTCTAACAATAAGTGCCCGGGCAGGCAGGAAGGTGCTCAGTTTTCTTACTTTGTGGGAAAACTTCACCTCAACTACCCAAACCTACCCTGAGCCCAGAAACATTCCATTCCACTAGCCAGCAAGCATCCTGCCCAATGGCACTCGGCTTTCTCCCTCAGTCCGCCGCTCGCTCTCCTGGTTCTGCTGCCTTGGCGCCATCTCTAGTATCTCAGAGGCGCTAGCTCTCTAGTTCCTGGGTCTAGGAGGGCCTCAGTGCAGCAATCTGGCCTCTGCTCTTGTCATTTCTTTGTGCCTCCTGGATGGATCATTTTAAGCCTAATGGGATGGCAAGGCTGACCAGTCTCCGTATTAGGTTCCATACACCTTAGTTGCATGGTCCCACTCCCAAAAGGGTGACAGATACCTTATTTATATTATTAGCAAGTTATTCATTCCCCTGGGTAAGCCACAAGCACCTCATTTGCATAGCCTCACTCAATCATTTGGTGGTCATTATGAGACCATGACTAGAAAGGCCATATAAAAGTGATCTTCACACCACACGCACATAGATAAGATGAATAATAAAGTGATGAATGAGAAGTGAGAAGGCATTCAGGTTCCCAGGTGCCAGGAGGAATAGCAGGCTTAGTCTCCGGGGAAGGTTGGGAAAATCCAAGGATTGCTGTTGAACCCCTTATCTGCTACCATCTATGGGCCACCCCCCAAGCTGTGTTGGAAAGGTGGGCCAGATGTCTACTGGGGAAACATCCAGGTGCCACGACTGGGAGCCTGCAGGCATGGGAGGGGCTTACCAGGACCACAGTCAACGTTGAAGGAGAACTTGAGAGGACCTTGAGTTTGGTCACTCCTGGGCACCTTCTAGTATAAGGGGGCCCAGGCTGGGTGGGTGTTGGCATGGGGTCCACTAAACTGACCTGGTTGTGCCTCTTCAGGGGATGAATGGATGGTTCGGAAGGTGAAGGTGGAAGATGAGGATCCGGAGGCCGAAGCCCAGGTCGAATGGCCGCAGCATCTGCCCTTCCTCCCCAGCTCTCTCCCTGCGCCCGACCTGGGACCTCTGGCGGCCACGTATAAGCCAGAGCCACGGGTGCCGGGTGGGTTCGAGCTGCCTGGGTGGGCTCCGGCCTTAGAGAAACCCTTCGGCTGTGGGGAGTGCGAGCGGCGCTTCCGGGACAGGCTGACTTTGAGGTTACACCAGCGGTTGCACAGAGGCGAGGGTCCGCGCGCCTGCTCCGACTGTGGCCGCAGCTTCGCACAGCGAGCGCATCTGCTGTTGCACCAGCGCAGCCACCGCGGCGAGCGGCCCTTCCCCTGCTCCGAGTGCGATAAGCGCTTCAGCAAGAAGGCCCACCTGACCCGCCACCTCCGCACGCACACGGGTGAGCGGCCCTATCCATGCTCCGAGTGCGGAAAGTGTTTCAGCCAGAAGATCCACCTGGGGTCGCACCAGAAGACGCACACGGGCGAGCGGCCCTTCCCCTGCGCCGAGTGCGACAAGCGCTTCCGCAAGAAGACGCATCTGATCCGTCACCAGCGCATCCACACAGGCGAGCGGCCCTACCCGTGCGCGCGCTGCTCCCGCACCTTTACGCACCGGCAACACTTGGCTCGGCACCAGCGCGTGCACGAGGCTCAGCCCCCAGCGCCCGCCTCACCCAGCCTCCTCAACGACTCCGACTGCGCCCTGAACTTGGGCAGCGAGAGCCGTGACATGTACCAGGGTCTACACCGCGCTGAGCCCCACACCGAGCCCGCGCCCTTGGCCCGCGAGTGGCCCTTCGCCTGTCCAGACTGCGGGCGTGGCTTCGCCCATGGACAGCACCTGGCACGGCACCGGCGGGTGCACACGGGCGAGCGGCCCTTCGCTTGCTCTCAGTGCGGACGCCGCTTCGGCTCGCGACCCAACCTAGCGGCCCACGCCAGAGCCCACAGCGGCGCCAGGCCGTTCCCCTGCTCACAGTGCGGCCGCCGTTTCAGCCGCAAGTCGCACCTGAGCCGCCACCAGGCGGTGCACACGGGCAGCCGGCCCCACTCCTGCGCTGTCTGCGCCCGCAGCTTTACTTCTAAAACCAATCTAGTTCGCCATCAGGCCATCCACACGGGCGTCCGCCCCTTCTCCTGTGCGCAGTGCGGCAAGAGCTTCAGCCGGAAGACACACCTGGAGCGGCACCAGCGTGTCCACTCGGTGGAGGCCAGCCATGCGGCCTGGCACAGTGTTAGCGAGGGGGAGCCTCCTCCGCTCTTCTAAGTCTCTCAGACACCGTGTTGGGAAACCTGCCCCGCCTGGGAAGCATCTGGAAAGACCACTCAGCTCTGACATTCCGTAACAGACAGTTTGAGGACAAACATTGCTGGGAACAGTTCCGATCCAGGTGCTTGGAAGACCTTGTATGCAGAGACCCTTTCAGAAGGCGGGACCCCTTCTGCTAGGACATACTGGTACCGTTTTGTGTGCTCCCCCGGGACAGTATATTCTTAAAGGTAAAGGAGTCCTGGTGTGGCGCTGTAGGATAAGCACTGCACTGCTGACCACAAGGTTGGCGGTTCAAACCCAACAGCCGCTCCTTGGAAACCCTATATAGGGTCACTGTGAGTTGGAATTGGCTGACAGCACTTAATAACATTAAAGGTAAACCGGGAAGATCCCGGGCTATTAGTCTGGTCAGACTGGAAGATCCTTTCCTCTCCACCCATCCCATTTCCCCTTTCCCCCTCCCCAATGCCAGTGCCAACTCTGGCAGCTGGACCATCTGATGATGGAGGGCGGTCGCCCTGACGTCATCTTCCTCACAGTCACGTGCTCTGACAGACGTTGGACGTCTGGGTGGGAGAGTTGGCGCCACCTGTCGGGCAGTGAAGAGGAAGAGGCAGTGCACCGCATGTTAGAGCTGAATGAATGAGAAGGCTTGGGAGTGAGCCTCCTCCCTTCAGGGGAAATTTGGGGCTGAGTCCTCTCTTCCTTGAACCTGTATTTTCTCTCCACTCCAACAAGACGGCTGGCATTTTATGAAGGCTGAGGCCCTTCCCACGTCTAACATTACAATCACAGAAACAACCTGAGAAAACCTTTCTAGGTGCCTGGATGTGATAGACAGCACAGTGCTGTGGAGGGCAGCAGCGAGGGCCCTAGGAACTGAGGGAGGGTGACGGGACAGTCAGGAAAGGTGGAGGGAAGCTCACAGGATGAAGACACTTGTAGCAGAAGGCCTGCGGAATGAGCCGTGGGTACTGGGTTTGGCCAGCGTGGCAGGATGAGGACGAAGAGTCTAGCGGGCCCTTGGTTGCTGTGGTTGTTGGTAGGTTCCCACTCATAGTGACGCTGTGCACAATATAATGAAAGCCTGCCAGGTTCTGAGCTACCCTCACAGCTCCTCTGTTGGAGCCCATTGCTGCTTCCACAGAGTCTGCACTTCTTCCAAGACTGCTCGTCCTAGCAGTCCATGGTACTTCCTATATTCTTTGCCAACACCATAGTTCAAATACATCGACTCTTCTACGATGGTCTTCTTTATCCATTGTTCAACTTTCACATGCAAATGAGGTGATTGAAGATACCATGGCTAAAGCAACACCCTTGCTCTTTAACACTTTAAAGAAGTCTTTTGCAGCAGATTAGCTGAATCCAATGCTTCTCATCTTTTGAATGCTCCTTCTATGATGTAGATCCAATCAAAATGAAAACTTCAATTTCCCCCCCATTTACCATGATGTTATTTACAGGTCCAGTTGTGAGGATTTTTGTTTCTTTACACTTGAGGTGCAACCCACACTGAAGGCTGTATAGTCTTTGATCTGCATTCTCAGTAAGTATTTGAAGTCCTCTTTGCTTCCAGCAAGCAAGATTATATCATCTGCATATCTCAAGTTGTTAATGCATTTTCCTCCAATCCTGATGCCATGTTCTTCCTCATATAATCCATCTTCCCAGATTATTTTCTCAGCATACATATTGAATAAGTATAGTGAAAGGATATTAATGATATTATTCTATGATTCCCTCATTCTGTTGGGTCACCTCTCTTTAGAATGGGTAAAAATCCATTGGCCACCTAGCTGTCATCTGAATTTCTTGGCCTAGATGAGTGAGCATCTCCAGTGTTGTATCAGTTTGTTGAAACCTTTCAAGTTGTATTCTCTGCAGTGCTGGAGTTTGAAGCCAACGCCTTCAGTGCAGCTTGGACTTCTTCCTTTATTACCATTGGTTTTGGATTATATGCTACTTTTAAAAATGGCTGAACATCTACCATTTCTTTTTGGTACAGTGACTCTGCAAATTCCATCCATCTTTTAATGCTTTCTGCTTGTTTTTGTTAAGTACTGTCGAGTCAGTTTTGACTCATAGTGACCCTGTATAAGGTTTCCAAGAAGCAGCTGGTTGGTTTGAACCAATGACTTTGTGGTTAGTAGTCCTATAGTACCACAAGAATCCTTCAATATTACAAGTCAAAGCTTAAATTTTTCTCCAGTTCTTTCAGCTTAAGAAATGCTGAGAGTGTTCTTCCCTTTTGATTTGCATATTTCATTGTAATATTTTACTTTGTCTTATCAAGCTGCCATTTGAAATTTTCTGTTCAACTCTTTTACTTTCTCATTTCTTTCATTTGCTTTAGCATCTCTACACTGAAAAGCAAGTTTCAGAGTCTCTTGTAACATTCCATTTTCATCTTTCCTGTCTTTTTTAATGACCTTTTGTTTTCTGTATAATGTTCTCGATGTCATCCCACAACTGTTGTGGTCTTCAGTCAGTGATTAATGCATCAATTCTGTTCTTGAGATCATCTCTAAATTCAGGTGGGCTATATTCAATGCATATTTTGACTCTTGTGGACTTGTTTTAATTTTCTTCAGCTTCAGCCTGAACTTGCATTTGAACAATTGATGGTCTGGTAAACAGTCAGTCCCTGGCCTTGTTTGGGCTGATAATACAGATCTTCTACACCATTTCTTCCCATAGATGTAGCCGATTTGATTCTTGTGTATTCCATCTGGTGAGATCCATGTGTAGTTGACTTTTATGTTGTTGAAAATGCAATTTATGATGAGTAAGTTGTTGGTCATACAAAATTCTATCATAGCATCATTTCTATCACCCGGTCATATTTTTCCAACTACTGATCCTTTCTCTTTGTTGCCTCATTTCCCACTCCAATCACCAGTAATGACCAATGCATCCTGATCGCATGTTTGATCAATTTCACACTGAAGAAGTTGGTAGACTTCTTCAGTTTCATCATCACTAGTTTTAGTAGTCAGTATGTCAATTTGAATAATAGTGGCATTACCAGGTCTTCCTTGTGGGCATATGGACATTAGCCTAGTAGAAAGTATTGTGCTGAAAGATAGATCTAGAAGTGTTCTTTTTAACAATGCCACACCATTCCTCTTCTATCATGATTGTCTGACTCAAAATGGTGAACACCTTTCTATGTCAGCTCATGAATGCCTAGGATAGTGATCTTAATATACTCCATTTCATTTTTGACAGCTTCAAATTTTCCTAGATTCATATTTCCTATATTTCTGGTATGGTACTGTAGGATAGGCACTGGATCACAAGTTCAGTTTGAACTGCAAGGTCAAATGTTCAAACTCACCAGCTGCTCCTTGGAAGCCCTATACAGAGTCGTTATGAGTTGGACCGAACTCAATGGCACTGAACACTAAAAAGTTAGTAGAGCTTTCCTTCTCCTTAGTGTCTGCAAGCTTCCTGAAACCTGTCCACCTTGGGTGACCCTGATGTTATTGAAAATACCAGTGGCATAGCTTCCAGCATCCGAGAAACACACAAGTCACCACAGTAGACCAACTGACAGAGGAGTGGTGTTATAAACAGTACACTCAGTCCACCCGGAGGCAACTAGGAAAAAAGGCTGACCATCTCCTTCTGAAAAGTTAGTCACTGACAACTCTGGAGCAGAGTTCTAGTCTGACACTCTACAGCCACTGGTAAGCAGCGGAGGAGTGGAAAACCATGGAGGGATTTGGCAGGGCAGTAGTGGTCAGGTTTGTGTCTGTGCATTTAGAAAGATGGCTTTGGCTACCTCATGGAGGATGGAGGTAGGGACAGGTGGTGTTGACCCTGGCCCACATTTTCTTGGAGGAGATGGGAAGAATTATATGGATTCCAGAGGCACCAAGGGGAGGTGACAAAGGATTTGTCAATGGTGAGGGGTGAGTCGTAGAGTGAGGGGCAGTGGCATCTCTCAAGACAGGAGCCTGGCTGGGGGAACAGCCTTGGTCCAGTTGGGTCAATGACTTGTACATGATAGCCCTATGGTGCAGGCCTCCACAGAGTTGGAAACTATTGACATGCATTTCCAAAGTTATGGGGACATAGATAACTCACCAAAAAGTAAGTGTGGGGCACGCAAAGAAGGGGCCTCGGGTGGAGCTCTGAAGAACCCTAACATTTAGGGGGTGGTGTAGAGAGAAGCCTGCAGAGGGCCAAGGAGATGACAAAGGAGTGAAGGGAGGATGATGTCAGCAGCGGAAGGCCGGGAGTAACTGTAGAAACTTGTGGCAGCTTCGATGTGAGCAGTGCCGTGCAGCTGAGGCCGAATTCAGATGCCGGGAGAGGGCGTGGCTGGACCCATCAGGGCATCCAGCTTCTCGAGTGAGAAACTGGGAGATGCGGCACCAGAGGTGGGGCTGGCGAACTGGGCTGCTTCACTCTTTGCTTGCCTGCTGGCCTTGTAGGCACCGAGTTGTGGTTCATACTTAAAAAACTATCTCACAGACCTTTAAACACACACACCCAAACATTTCTGCTGGCTCTACCAATGTTTTTGCTTCTCCAAACCTTCCGGAGTTCTCGTGGGAGAACACCTTTCAAAGCTTGCAGCATTTGGGGGAATCCCCAGAGGACACCACAGTATCCTGAGTATTCGCTACAAGGTGCAGCTCTGTTCCTTGACCTTGTTTGCAAGCTGTCACAAGTCATTTGGTGTCCAGTCTGGTGAATAAGGTGCCAATCAAAATAGGAGTCACTGATCAGGAAATGACACGCCTGCAACGAGACACTGGCGCTCTTCACAGCCTCCTAAGCACAGGTCCACTGAGCAACAGTCACTGCTGAGAGTGATGCAGCAAAGCCCCACTGCCATCGATTCAGTGCCAACGTACAGTGACCCTAGAGGGCAGAGTCGAACCGCTCCTCCAGGTGTCTGAGACTGTGGGTCCTTCTGGGAGCAGCTTTTCTTTGTCCTTTGAAGCTACAGGTGGGCTTGAACTGTCAACCTTGCAGTTAGCAGCTTAATGCATAACCCACAATGCCACCAGGAATCCTTCAGATCAGTACAGTACAGTAAAAATGGCATGGTGTGAACCTCATGCATCATGAAATGGGTGGAGAATCATCAGCATCAGCCCAAGGCTGATTCTTGTGAGGTGGAGGTCAGCTACACCTCTGCTCTCCAAACTGTTCACCAATTGCTTCTCTGCTGAGTTCAGTAATCCACATAGAGCTCATAGCCAATACCCACAATGATGAGGTGTATTAGGGAAGTAGCAGGCTTATTCAGGACAAGGGTCAACTTGGAAGGAGCAGAAACAACTCGGGAGACAGTTATTTCCAGCAGCTTCTGTTTGGCCCTCACTCTCAGCAAAGGCCCTTATTTGGGTAAGTATCACAAAACTCTTTGGTGGTTATGTGCTGTGGAGTCGGTTACGACTCGTAGCGACCCTGTGTAGGGTTTCCGAAGCTGTAAATCTTTACAGGAGCAGAAAGCCTCATCTTTCTCCTGTGGAACCGCTGGTAGTTTTGAACTGCTGACCTTGAGATTAGCAGCCTGACTTCAGTACCAGAATTCCTTACAAAACTTTTTCGCTACCTTGATAAATACCCAGAGGCATCCCACTCTGACAGGAAGCCTCCAGGCCAACGACACTCAGCTTTCTCTCA